ACTGACGTTGTAATACTAGGAGCGCAGTGGACGTCACACCGTCCAGTGTCTCTCGCAGTACGGCGGGGCCGTAACGACCAGGGCCTTCATCTGGTTGACGGCCTGGGTACGTGCCTTCACAGCTGAGTCCTTGGTGCTCTTAAGCATGCAGATTATCTCGATTTCGCCCTCACCTGACTTGGGAGTAGCGCTGGCCACCCCGGCCAGCACCGCACGCGCTGCCATGTCCGCAGCGGTGGGGTCGTTCTTACCCTTCCGGTATCGGGTTGACCGGTCAGGCCGGTTGAACTCGACGACGCTGAAGCCACGACTGCTCAGAAATCGAGCAAGTCCGGCGCCGTAGGAACCAGTGCCCTGGACCCCGAATGCGCGTACCTCACCCATTTGTTGGGACCACCGTTCGAGTCCCCTATAACCGTAACTGGTCGCTGGGGCGTGGCGCTGGGCGAGACGCACGCCCAGCTGGTCGATGGCAACGGCCATGTGCCCGTCATAGTGAGTATCGACTCCAATGATCACGCGACCAATGCTGATGACTCCACGACCGACGACTGCTGTCATTTCTGCCTCCTGTAAGGAGTGGTGCGTCGGCCAGTTGAGAGGACAAGACTGCGACGGGACTTGAAGTCAGGCTCCTATGAGGTCACTGCTCCAATGGCCGATAGCGACGTACAGGCCACCCCCAGGTCGAGCCGACAGATCAGTTGCAAGGCATCTGGGCCAGTCAGCGATAGGGTCAGACTCGACCCGGGATTGCACAGACATGTAGCCACAGCCAGCAATTTTGGGGTTACAGCGCGTGGAGACACGGGTCCCTGTCCTGCTCTGGAATTGCTGGCGTGACGGGGGTTTGGATTCCCGCTTCCGCGGGAATGACGGAGGGGCGCGGGAATGACGATTGGGGGTGGGTGTGACGTAGGGTGGGGGCGGTGATTAATTTTCGAGGGCTTTCTCGATTTCGAGGGCGAATGCTATGAGGGCTTCGTCGTCGCCGCGGTTGCCCATCAGGGAGAGGCCGACGGGGAGGCCGCTAGCCTCGGCGAGGGGTAGCGACAGCTGGGGGCGGCCGGTAGTGCCGCCCATGCAGGTGAGGCGGATAATGCGTACCTGGGAGCCGCGTTTTCCGGAGAGAGGCTGGCCACGCAGAGGGGCGACCACGGGCGATGTGGGGAAGCAGAGGAAGCCACCGGCAGTCACAACTTCATCCAATCGGCGTCGCACAGCGTCTCGGGTCGCGCGGGCTGCCTCTATCTGAGGCTGGGTGAAAGACGTTCCCAGCGCGTACCTCTCGGTTACCATGTAGCTGAACCGGGGGTTTACGGCGTCTATCCAATCGGATACCGATTTCCATGCCTCGATGGATTGCAGCGTGTTCTGCTGCCAGGCCCATCCCTCCACTCCATCGGGAGCCAGGCGAATCGATACGGACGAGGACGCCATTCCGGCCACTCGGTCCGCCACCGGGCGAAGGGCGGCGGCCACCGCGGGATCACACTCGTCGAATAAATCCTCCGCTATGACGATTCGCTGCGGAGTCGCGGGCGCGATGGAGGAGCCGAAGACGGCCCCGGCCACGCGGGCGAAGGTGGCGGCGTTGCGGGCGAACCAGCCGATGGTGTCGTAGCTGGGGGCCTGCATCAGGATGCCTTCCAGGGGGATGCGTCCGTGGGTGGGGCGAAGGCCGAAGAGTCCGCAGAAGCTGGCGGGGATGCGGACGGAGCCGCCGGTGTCGGAGCCGAGGGCGAAGTCCACGAGGCCGCCGGCGACGGCGGAGGCCGACCCGCTGGAGGAGCCGCCGGGAACACGGTCCGGCCCGCGGGGATTGACGGGGGTGCCGTAGTGGGCGTTCTCGCCGAGGATGCCGCGAGTGAGCTCGTCGGTGTGGGTCTTGCCGACCATGGTTGCCCCGGCGTCGACCAGCGTCTGGACGATCCAGGCGTTGCGCTCTGCAGGGTCGTGCGTGGCCTTCCAGTCGGGGTTTCCGCCGCCGGTGACGTGGCCGGCGACGTCGAAAATGTCCTTGGCGGCGAAGGTCAGGCCCGACAGCGGCCCGCCGGCAGCGCCGTCGAGGTAGGCGTCGGTGTCGGTGCAGAAGGCTCCCAGCGTGTCGTTCAGCGGCGGCCTGTTGGTGGTCATCGCGGCGTCATCTCCGTGCGTTGAGACTTGGCTGCAAGTATAGTCCAACGGGGGCCGAGGCGTGGGGTATACTGAGGAAATGAAGAGGGATTGGCGAGGCGCGCGATGACCGCCAAGACGCAGTACACCTACATACCTTACAGGCCGGACAACTCGGGCATAGATTATCCCGAGCATCCGGACGAGTTTCCTGACGCCATGTACCAGTTCCCCAAGATGACCCACACCATGGACATCCTGCTGTGGCGGTATGAGGACCGGCCGGATGTCTTGGTCAGCGGCGACAACGCGATCTACTACGAGCAGGGCAACCCGAGGGTGCACCGTTCTCCTGATGGCTTCATCGCGTTCGGGGTTGACCGGGATGCCATCCTTCGGGAAAACGGCTACAAGGTCTGGGAGGTTGGCAAGCCGCCGGACTGGGTGCTGGAGATTGCATCGCCGTCGACCGCCAGGGTCGACCTAGGTATAAAAGAGGGAGATCTATGCCAGTATTGGTATCGGTGAATACTGGCGATTTGACGCCTCGGGCGGTCAGTATTACGGGGAGCCGCTGGCGGGGGAATACCTGGAGGGCGGCCAGTACCGGCGGTTCGAGATTCATACGACTGAGGACGGAGTCTCCTGGGCGCACAGCCCCGCTCTGAACCTGGACATATACCCGGGAGACATACGGCTGCGATACTTCGATCCCTCAACAGGGGAGTGGCTGCGCGACCTGAAGGAGGCGCAGGCTGAGCTTCAAGAATCGCAGGCCGAGCTTCAGGCAACCCAGCGTCGAGTGCGAGAATTGGAAGAGGAATTGCGGCGCCGGGGTTAGCCATTCTTTACCCTGATGCGGGCCTGGTCTCCCTTGGGCTGGCAGATACTAATTTCTATCCGGATATTCAGTGCATATACGGGAGGGCATTGCGACATGCTGACGGCGGAAGCCAATGAACGACTTACCCGGGTGGGCCGGGGACGCCCATGGGGGAGCTGATGCGGCGGTACTGGATTCCGGTCCGGCCCACGGCTCAACTGGTGAAAGAAGAGGTCATGGCCGTCAGAATCCTGGGTGAGGACCTGGTGCTGTTCCGGTTGGCTGACGGGCAGATGGGGCTGGTCGGCGACAGGTGCCCGCACCGCATGACGGAGCTGAGGTACGGCATTCCCGACACGGGCGGGCTGCGGTGCTGCTACCACGGGTGGATGTTCAACCCCGCTGGCCAGTGCATCGAAACCCCGCTGGAATCGGCCAACGACCCGTTCAAGGACCGCATCCGCATCAAGGGATACCCGGTGCAGGAGATGGGCGGGCTGGTCTGGGCGTACATGGGGGCCGGAACCGACGCCCTTGCTGCCGCCGTGGGACCTGTTCGTCATGCCGAATGCCATACGGCAGATCGGCATCATGAACCTGAACTGCAACTGGCTGCAGTGCCACGAGAATACGGGAGACCCGACGCACAGCGTGTACCTGCACGGAAACCTGTTCGAGTACGTGCTGCAGAAGCAGGGGAAGCTGGAGGAGCGGGCCGCCGACGGTCAGATGCACACGCTGTATGCGCGCATGAAGACCGGAAATGGCATCGAGTCACTGTACGTGAACCCGACACGGTACGGGATGGAAAAGGGGATCAACTATTCCAAGGAGCTGGGAGCGGACCGGGACCATGTGTCGCGGCATGCGACGGTCATCTTCCCGTTTTACACGCAGACGGGCGGTCCGGGGATGGTCAGGCAGGAGTTCCAGATACGGGTGCCGGTGGACGACACCAACACCTACCACATCAACTACGGTTGCTACATGGGGCCGGAGGAAGTGCCGGTTACGGTGCAGGAATCGATACCGTACTACGACGTGCCGCTGTTCGACGATGATGGGAAGCCGTTACTGGACTTCGTTCTGGCGCAGGACGCCCACGCGTGGATCTCGCAGGGGCCGATCATGGACCGGACGCAGGAGCACCTGGGGCGCACGGACATGCCCATCGTTTTTATGAGGCGGCAGTTCGAGGAGCAGATGCGAATCGTGGAGGACGGCGGCGACCCAATGAACGTGTTCCGCGACCCGGCTACGATGCCGTCGCTGATCCACGGCGGACACTGGGACGAAAGAGAGGAGGAAGGCAAGGCGGCGGTCACGGGCAAGGGCAGCGACCTGTCATCATTTCGGGGCGCATACCACAAGGGCTACGCCATTGACGACGCGGACCGTTATGGGCCGGCGATGCCTCAGGTGATCGACCTGATGCGGCGGATCGACGAGGCGCAGGAGGAGGCGGCGCGGGCGTAGGTTTGTTGACCACTTTCGGGGCGATACATATAATCCCGCGCAAGCATAATCAGCGGCTGAGCATTAGCTGGTCCGCAGGCAAGTAGCGACTGGAGGGAGAATCATGGCAACAACCCGCGCTCCGTTTCTTTCCACCAAATACGGCGGCTACTATCACTCGGAGGTGCCCAAGGAGGACGATGAGCTGACGCACGTTGGCCCAGGGACGCCGGCCGGCGAGTACCTGCGCCGGTTCTGGCAGCCGGTCTGCTACGCCGACGAGCTGGGAGACACGCCCGTCGGGCTGAAGATACTGGGCGAGGAACTGGTGGCATTCCGGGACTTCAGCGGACGTGTCGGCCTGGTGGAGGCCCACTGCCCGCACCGGGGGACGTCGCTGGAGTTCGGGCTGGTGTCGGAGCGGGGGATCCGCTGCTGCTACCACGGCTGGCTGTTCGACGTGGACGGGACGATCCTGGAGACGCCAGGAGAGCCGGTGGGATCGACATTCAAGGACCGACTGTGCCACGGCGCCTACCCGGTGCACGAGTACTGCGGGACGATCTTTGCCTACATGGGCCCGCCGGACAAGATGCCGGAATTTCCGATTGCAGACAGCTGGGAGCGGGAGGGCTACCGGTTGATTCCGGGGCAGCGTTACGATTACCCCTGCAACTACCTGCAGGTACTGGAAAACGCCATGGACCCGGTGCACACGTCGTTCCTGCACACCATCGTTAGCGGGTCGCAGTTCACGGACGAGTTTGGAGTGGTGCCGGAACTGGACTTCATGGAGACGCCCATCGGCATCATCTACATCGCCACGCGACGGGTGGGCGACAACATCTGGGCGCGCATGGTCGAGAACGTCCTGCCGAATATGCAGCAGGTTGCGCCCATCTGGGAAGACGGCAAGGAAGTCCATGGTTTCGACGGTCCTATGATGACGCGCTGGATTGTGCCACGGGACAACAACAGCACCATGCTGCTGGAGTTCCGGCATATCAGCGAGGCCGAGGAGAAGGAGCCGGCGTGGTGGATCGACCGGGACCAGATGCTGCCGGCCCAGTTGCCGATTTCAGACGACCTGCGTGAGCAGCAGCTGCAGCCCGGCGACTATGAGGCCCAGATTTCGCAGCGCCCCATCGCTGTTCATGGCATGGAGCACCTTGGCGCGACAGACCGTGGGATCACGATGTTCCGCCGCCAGATACGGCGGGGCATTCGAGCAGTGCAGGCGGGGGAGGACCCCACGGGCGCACTGGCTGCCGACGAGACTGGGCGCCTTCCCACCTACTGCAACGACACGGTGGTCTTCGCCCCCGAGGCGGCGACTCCCGAGGATGACGTCAAGCTGATGCGGGAGACGGGCCGGCGGCTGGCCGAGGAGTACGTGGCGGCGAGGACGAACGGCAACGGCAAGTAGACACCTGGGCGCGAGGACTACAACGGCTCCGGATGGATTCCGGGGCCGTTGTTTTTGTGACGGGTGTTAAACTTGTCGGCGGAAATTTTGTTGAGGGTTGTGGAAGCTATGCGCGCTGCTGTTATTACGGAGCCGGGCGGGCCTGATGTTCTGAAGGTGCGGGAAGTGCCGGATCCTGTTCCTGGGCCGGATGATGTGCTGGTGGACGTCAAGGCGTCGGCGCTGAACCGGGCGGATACGCTGCAGCGGCAGGGCGGGTACCCGGCACCTCCGGGTAGTCCCGACGACATTCCTGGGCTGGAGTTCTCGGGCGTGGTGGTAGAGGCCGGAGCCAACGTAACGGACCTGTCGGCAGGGGACCGGGTGTTCGGTCTGCTGGGCGGCGGCGGGTATGCGTCGCGGGTGGTCACGCACTCGCGGATGGCAATGCGGATTCCCAAAGGGCTGGACTTCGAGCAGGCGGCGGCGTTCCCCGAGGTGTTCTTCACCGCCTACGACGCGCTGTTCAACCACTGCGAGCTGGCCATGGGTGAGTCGGTGCTGATCCACGCGGCTGGGAGCGGTGTGGGGACGGCTGCAGTGCAACTGGCCCACAGCGCGGGGGCGTACGTGTTCGGCACGGCGGGCAGTGAGGACAAGCTGCAGGGCGCGAAAGACCTAGGCATGGACGTTGGCATCAACTACCGCGAGCAGGACTTCAGCGCGGTGGTGCGAGAGCACACCGGCGGGGCGGGCGTAGACGTGCTGCTGGACGTGATCGGGGCGGACTACTGGGACAGGAACCTGGCGTCGCTGGCCCTGAGAGGGCGGCTGGTGCTGGTTGGTACCATGGGCGGGGGAGCCGTACAGGCCGACCTGCGGCCCTTGATGTTCAAGCGGCTGCGGGTGCACGGTACGGTGCTGCGTTCTCGGCCGATTGAGGAGAAGATCGCGCTGACCAACCAGATCAAGCGGCATGTGCTGCCGCTGATAGACTCGGGAGCCATGAAGCCAGTAGTGGACAAGGTGTTTCCGCTGGCGGAGGCCGGTGAGGCGCACCGTTACATGGAGAGCAACGCCAACTTCGGGAAGATAGTTCTCTCTATGGAGTAAGAAGCCAACGAGAGGGGCCGTGTTCCGGCCCCTTTTCGAGGCAATGGGTTCAGCCCTTTGGATTCCCGCTTTCGCAGGAGAGACGATTTGGGGGTCGCAGCGAGTGTTGATGTAGTTGCCAGGTCCCCGGCGGAGCGAATCCGCCATTACGGCCATTATGCTTGGAAGCCAGCGTAGCCCTTTGGGTCTGTCCGTTCTAAGCAGGTCAGATTAGGATCGTCCTGTTCACCGATGGTTCGACAGGCTCACGGTGAACGGTTTTGCGATGGCCTTGCAATCGTCCTGCGAACCGGGGCAGGCCGTTACCCGCCCGCCTGCCCGTCTGCTATCATTAGCCAACTTCACCCGTCGGCGAATTGCCCAGCTCCAGGGAGGTGAACCTTGGCAGAGATCATAGGCGTCGGCTGCACTCACTACCCTCCGCTAATAACCCCGGACGAAGACCGCGGCTTTCCCATCAACGTCACGCTGAACCGCGATGAGCGCCTGCCAGAGGAGCTCAAGAATCCGCTGAACTGGCCCGAACCGATGCGGGCCGAGTACGGCGACGACCAGGGAATGGCATCGGCCGCGGTGCACCGGACGAGGCTGGTCGAGGGATTCCGGCGAGTCCGCAAAGAGATTCTCGACTTCAACCCCGACTTCGTGGTTGTATTCGGCGATGACCAGTACGAGAATTTCCGGGAAGACATAATCCCTCCCTTCTGCATCCTGGCCTATGAGGGGTTCCAGTGCACGCCGTTTATGCGGCACGGGACTCCGCGCCGGAATGTGTGGGAGGAACCGGCAGACAAGGTGTTCTCATACAAGGGCCATCCCGAGGCGGCGCGGCTTTTGGCGGGAGGATTGCTGGACTCCGGCGTTGATATGGCCTACGCCTACCGCCCATTGCACGAGCCGGGACTGGCCCACGCATTCATCAACACGCTGCTTTACCTGGACTATGACCGTGAGGGGTTTGACTTTCCGGTCCTGCCCTTTGCCGTCAACTGCTACGGCCGGGCTGTGATCAGCAATCGCGGAGGCATCCTTCCGCACAAGGTGGACGGACAGGCGCTGGAGCCGGACCCGCCGGGACCGTCGCCCAAGCGATGCATGGAGGTTGGGGCGGCGTTGGCCCGGGTGCTGCAGGACAGCCCTTACCGGGTCGCGCTGGTTGCCTCCTCGAGCTGGTCCCATGCGTTCCTGACCGCCAAGAACAACTACCTATGGCCGGATGTACCCGCCGACCGTGCGCTGTACGAAGAGCTGAAGCAGGGCAACTTCGAGGCCTGGCGCACCCGCACCACCGCCGACATGGAGGCTTCAGGCCAGCACGAGTTGCTCAACTGGGCCTGCATGCTTGGAGCGATGTGCGAGCTTGGCGCTAAGCCCACCGGCATGGACTTCGTCGAGACGCGGGTATTCACCTCCAACAAGGTTTTCGCCACGTTCAAGGCTTAGGAATACACCTCCGGGACAAGGGAATCAGCGATCCCATATAGAGGAGGGGCAGCAATGGCCAAGGATATTTCCATTCTCGTCGGAACCATCGGGGCGGGCCTATGGGTCAGCCACGACGGCGGGCGCAACTATGGCCGGGCGGGCGGCATCTTCGGGGAATATGAAGGTCTTTGGCCTGAAGGTTGACCCCACGGACCCGGCGGTGGTCTATGCCGGCACGGACGAGGGCATCTTCCGCAGTATCGATCGCGGCAAGTCCTTTGAGCGGCTCGACTCTCAGATGAACTCGACGCAGGTGTGGAATATCGCGGTCAGCCCTGCGGACCCGTCGTTGATTTTCGCTGGGACCAGCCCGTCGGCGCTCTTTCGTTCCGCCGATGGCGGGTCGAGCTGGGAACAATTGACCGTTGATATGGCCGAGGAGTGTCCCAACGTCCGAGTCCCCCGCGTTACCGCGCTGGAGGTTGACCCCAGTAATCCCAACGTCGTATGGGCCGGGGTTGAGGTGGACGGGGTCCGCCGCAGCCTGGACGGCGGCGATACATGGACGCGCATCAACGGTGGGCTGAACGATCCCGACATCCACGGGATGACCGTGAGCGCGGGAGGCACCACCACGGTCTTTACGAGCACGCCAGGCGAGGTATTTGCCAGCACCGATACCGGAGAGAGTTGGCAGGGCCTGGGCGTACGGGATTCCTTCCCGATGCGTTATTGCCGGGGCATCACGGTGAAGCAGGACGATCCTGACACCCTGCTGGTGGCCACGGGGGACTCTCCTTTCGGCGTGACCGGGGCGATTCAGCGCTCGACTGACAGGGGACAGAGCTGGGAAAGGATCAGCTTGCCCCAGGAACCGAACACCCCGATGTGGGCCTTCGCCTCTCATGCATCCGATCCAGACTTCATCCTCTGTTGCAGCCATTACGGGCAGATCTACGCCACCGCCGATGGTGGCGACTGGTGGGTCAAACTGCCGCGGGAATTCAGCGAGATACGCGGCATGGCCTGGACTCCGAACTAGAAGCAGACCGATATTAAAGGAAATCTACAATTCTGGAGGTACATTATGCCGCTGGACCCGCAAGCGCAGGCAGTAATCGACGCAGTGAACGACCTGGGACTTCCCGCAGTGTGGGAAGTGACGCCCGAACAGGCCAGGATCAACGCCGCCGCTCGTCCCCGCCCCGCCGGACCCGAAGTTGCCGCCGTTGAGAATCGCAGCATTCCCGCCCCCGATGGCGACGTTCCAGTCCGTATCTACACCCCGGAAGGCGATGGCCCCTTCCCCATCCTGGTGTGGTACCACGGCGGAGGCTGGGTGGTAGGCGACCTGGAGTCCGCTGACGCCACGTCGCGCACCTGTGCAAGGGCGCGGGTGCGTGGTGGTATCGGTTGACTACCGCCTGTCTCCCGAAACCAAGTTCCCCGGCCCTGCCGAGGACTGCTACGCAGCCACCATCTGGGCCGCCAACAACGCCAGCAGCCTGAATGCCGATGCTTCCCGCCTAGCCGTGGGCGGCGACAGCGCCGGGGGCAATCTGGCCGCTGGGATATCGCTGATGGCCGCCGACCGTGGTCGCCCGGCCATCGTACACCAGTTGCTGGTGTACCCAGTTACCGAACGCAACTACCAGACCGGTTCGTACCAGGACAACGCCGAGGGGTTCCTTCTGGCGCGGGACGCCATGCAGTTCTACTGGGACGCCTACCTGGCCAGCGACGCTGATGCGTCCAATCCCTACGCCGCTCCGATGCAGGCCGACAGCCTGGCTGGGCAGCCTTCGGCGCTGGTGATCACGGCGGAGTTCGACCCGCTCCGGGACGAGGGCGAGGCTTATGGCCGCCGCCTCCAAGAGGCCGGGGTCGAGACTACGATCAGCCGGTACGACGGCATGATCCACGGCTTCTTCGGCATGGTTGGGATCATGGACAAGAGTGGGCAGGTGATGGAGGAAGCGACCGCCGCCCTGCGCGCCGCCTTCGCGGACGCCTCCGTCCCGGCCCCAGCCGACGACTAGAGGGGTCGCCTGTCATTGTTAGAATGACCGGACCGTCCATCCCTCGACTTTTCAGGATGGACGGTCTGGTGGCATCTAGCTTTGTAGATAGTGCAAGGGTGGAGACGTAATAGCCAATCCAATCCTGAATTAAGTCCGGGAGGGAAACGATGACCACCGCCAATCCGGTCGAAGTAACAGTGTGGCAGGACTACACTTGACCCTTCTGCTATGTGGGTCTGGGCAGGCTCGATATTGTTGCCAAGGAAATGGACATCACTGTAGACCGCAGGCCGTTCCTGTTGCGGCCCGACTGTCCGCCGGAAGGCCAACCTAGGCGGATGTTTGACGGGGAAACTGAGACCGAACTGGCTCCTGCGATGCAGGAGCGGGCCCGGGGCGCAGGCCTGGTGATGCGCCGCCCGCAAATGTCGCCCAATACCCTGTACGTGCATGAGACGACGCTGTTTGCCAAGGAGCAGGGCCTCGATGACCGCTTCCACCACGTGGCCGCGTCCGCTTTCTGGGAGGAGAGCGTCGACCTGGGCAGCCTCGAGGTGGTCAAGGGACTGGCGGAGAAAGCCGGCCTGGACCTGTCGGAACTGGTACCGAGGCTGGAGTCCGGCCACTACCGGGACGCGGTACTGGAATCCAACGAGACGGCCCGCGCCAGCGGAATCGGCGGGACGCCGACGTACATGATCGGCGGGTGGCGCAAGTTCGGCGACCTGGGCGTCGATGAGCTCAAGACGATAATCGAGGCGGTGGGCCGCTAGGCCTGCTGTGGCAGTTGAATGTCTACTCAACCAACCATAGTCGTAGCGGGCGCGGGAATCTTCGGGCTGTCTGCGGCTCTTGAGCTTCAAAGCCGGGGTTACGCGGTAACCGTGGTTGACCCCGGGCCCGTGCCCCACCCCCTGGCTGCTTCCAATGACGTCAGCCGGATGATCAGGATGGACTACGGCGACGACAAGCTGTACAGCGACCTGGGTGCTGAAGCCATTGAGGGATGGCACGTCTGGAACGAGTGGCGCGGCAGGCCCCTGTACCACGAAGACGGGTTCCTGGTCCTCACCAGCAGGCCGCTGGAACCGGGTACGGTCGAGCGCCAGTCCTACGATCTGCTCACCGCCGCCGGGTGGCCGCTGGAGCGACTCAATTCCGAAATCACGGCAGAGCGGTTCCCCCTGTGGAACTCGGAACACTATACCGATGGGTATTTCAACCCCCGAGGCGGATGGGGAGAGGCCGGAGAAACAGTCTCGTTCCTGGCCTCGCAGTCGGTCGCGGCAGGAGTCGACATTCGTGCTGGGTTCAGTGCTGAAATTGTGCTGGTGGAATCGGGCAGGGCGGTCGGCCTGCGCTCGTCGGACGGGAGCGAGGTAAGGGCGGACAATGTAGTGGTGGCCGCCGGGGTCTGGACTCCGAGGCTGATTCCTGAGCTTGAGGACATGATGTCTCCGGTGGCGCAGACGCTGGTGTACCTGCGCCCTACCCTGCCGGACCGGTTCAGGCCGCCGCACTTCCTGCCGTGGGGCGCGGATATTCCCCGCACGGGCTGGTACGGGTTCCCGGCCAATGCTGATGGAGTGGTCAAGCTGGCGAACCACGGCCCCGGCCGTCTGGTTGACGCTGACGCGCCGAGGGACGCGGACCCGGAGGTTGTGGAGTACAGCCGCAGGTTCCTGGCCCATTCAATACCAGAACTGGCTAACGCTCCCTGGCTGGCAGCCGCGCCTGCTTCTACAACGATACGTGGGACGGGGACTTTTACATCACCCGGCACCCGGAGATCGAGGGGCTGGTCGTTTCCACGGGCGGGAGCGGCCACGCCTTCAAGTTCACGCCGGCGCTGGGCGGGATCACGGCCGATGTGGTGGAAGGCGAGCCCAACCGCTACGCCGCCAGGTTTGCGTGGCGGCCGCGCGGGGCGGTGACCAAGGAATCAACCCGCTATCACGGGGAGTAAGGGCGAGATTCCGGCGCTCGCCAGCCGGGAGTCCGGAACTCGATATAGAGAAAAGGGGCGGAAACAGGTCCGCCCCTTTTGCTTTGGCTATTTTGCCCTGTTGGAGGCGTTCAGCCCCAATTGGGAGCAGGGTCGAACTTCTTGAGTTCCGGCAACACCTCTGAGGCAAAGAGGCGCATGCTTGCCTCGGCATCCTCGTAGGGCATGCCGCCGTAACTGAAGGAGGCCACCAGCGAGTCGGTGCCGGTGTAGCCGTGAATGTCCATCACCTTCTGGTAACACTGCTCGGGCGTGCCGGTCACCTGCAGGTTGACGAAGAAGTCGACGACGTCCCTGTCGCCGTAGGTGTTGATCTTGTCGGTGAAGCCGCCGTAGTACTCGTAGCCTCGAGTGGTCTTCAGGTGGTCGCTGCGGAACTCGTAGTGGTCCATCACCGAGTCCCAGTAGCCGCCGACGTACTTGCGGGACATCTCGGCGGCGCGCTCCTCGTCGTTGTCGCAGTAGGCAAAGGTGACAACGACCGGGGCGGGAGGTTCACCCTCGTTGACCTCTTGGTAGGTGGCGCGGTAGGAGGCGAGCTCGGACTGAACGTCGCTCCAAGGCTTCTGGGGGATGATCAGGACGCCGACGCCGAGCTTGGCCAGCACGATGCTGGATTCGGGCGAGATGGCGGCGGCGTAGGTGCGGCCCTCAAAGCTCCTGAAGGGGTTGGGACGGATTTCCACTCGCGGCTGCTGCACGAGTTCCCCATCGAACTCGGCGAACCCGTCTTCCAGAGCCCGCACCAGCATCTCGGCCGACTCGTTGAACCGGGTGCGGGAAGTGTTCATATCCAGGCGGAAGCCCTCGTATTCCACCCGGGCAAGTCCGCGCCCGACACCCACGACGACGCGGCCGTCGCTGAGGTTGTCCAGCATCACGAATTCTTCAGCGACGCGAACGGGGTCGTGCCAAGGGAGCACTACGACCATGGACCCCAGCTTGGCGCGCTCAGTGCGGCCAGCCATGTAGGACAGGAACTGGAGCACGTCGGGGCACATGGTGTAGTCGGTGAAGTGGTGCTCCACACCCCAGATGGACTCATATCCGAGAGGCTCGGCCAAGTCGGCCAACCGCAGCTCGTTTCGGTACACCTCGTAGTCGGTGAGGCGCCTGCCGGGGTTCTGGAAAACCGTGGACATGCCTACGTGCATCGCTGACCGTCCTTGTAATGGGGCGCCGGATTTGCCGCACCGGGATTCGCCAGGGGCTAGTCGTCGCCGGGCAGGTTGCCTGCCACGTCGACACGGAGCTCGTTTTCGAGACGTCCCCGGACGCTCTCACTGAGCACGCCGCACTTGAACAGGTTGTTCACCAGGGTGTTGTGCATCTCGCGCTTGAAGAGTTGGCGGAACAGAACGAAGTCGCTGCTCTGGGCCTTGTCGCGGCGCATCTTGCGGATGTCGTCGATCTCGTGGTTGTTGAAGCCCATGTCGAGGTAGGCTTCCCTGGGGAATCCGCCAGTGAGGGTGTTGCGCAGGAAGTGGATGGTGAAGTCCTCCATTTCCTCGCGTTCATTGGGGGACAACTGCTGCACCTGTTCGGGGAGGCTGAGCATGCCGAAGCCCATGTGGCGGGCCTCGTCGCGAAGGATGAGCTTGCAGCCCTCACGGAGCAGTTCGTCCTTGGCCGTCTCGGCCAGCATCTTGAACAGCGCCACGGCGAAGGTCTCGCCCACGAGCTGCAAGCCAATGACCTTGATGTACCAGCGAGGGTCGCTGAGGATGTAGTCGAAGAGCTCCCGTCCGACATCGGACTGCCCGTAGACCTTTCCCACCCGGCCGTGGAGATAGCGCTGGAAGAACTCGGTGTGGCGGGACTCGTCCATCACCTGGGTGGACATAAAGAACTTGGTGTCAGCGTCAGGTAGGACGTTCGCAAGCTGGGAGCAGACCAGCACCGCCGCGTGCTCGCCGTGGAACAATTGGCTGAGGCGCCACGCGGAGAACAGCCGGTTCATCTCGGCCTTTTCTGCGGCGTTCATTTTGTGCCAATAGGGGGAGTCGTAGATGTCGATCAGCTCATCCGCGACGAAACCCTGCTCCAGGTCCACGGGCTGGTCCCATGCGATGTAGGTGGCGGCGTTCCACTGGTCGCGCTTGGCGTTCTCATAGAGCCGGCGCATGTCCTCTTTGCGCACCTCATGGTCGTGCAGATAGACGACATCGTACTCAGAGTGGACAACATGGGATGATTCAGGCACAGTCACCATGAGTCTTCCTCCCCCGGCAACCAGGAATTATATTTATCATAGTATCGGGATAGTCATGCTATTGTAAACCTGTAGCCCGGATATGTCTCAAAATGACCGTTTCGTCCAGTGGGCGACCGACGAATTGCGATCCAAGGATGCGATCCAAGGATGGGAATGACGATGGACTGGCGGAAGACGGTGTCGGACAAGCTGATGAGCGCCGCCGAGGCGGTGCGGCGGTCAAGTCGGGAGACGTAGTCGCCATCTCCGCAATCAACTGCACTCCATTCACGCTTTGCCGGGCCCTGTACGACCGGCGGTCTGAACTTGGCGATGTCCGCATAGACCACCCGGCTCCCCTCTTCCCTTGGGTGCAGCAGGGTGATGAGGGCGCCTTTACGCTGCACGATCTGTACGCGACCCCGGCAGACCGGCAGATGGCGAATGCCGGCAGGGTTGAATATCGCCCCGTAGCCCGGTGGCGTTCCGACCTCCCGCCCGATGGATTCGTGGAGCGGCCCGACGTGTACATGCTGCCGGTATCGCCTCCTGACCGGCATGGATATTGCAGCTTTGGGCCGGGAGTCTTCTTCTCACCGTCCTTGTGTCGGAACGCCGCCATGGTGATCGCCGAGGTCCACGAGAACTTCATCCGCACGGGCGGAGACAACTACGTCCACGTCTCGCAACTCGACCGGCTGTGCGAGGCGGCTGCGCCAACCGGATCACTGCCCGTGGCTTCCCGATCTGAGGAGGAAAGCCTCGTCACCGAGGTGATCGGGACGCTGGTGGCAGCGGAACTGGTCAATGATCGGGACACAGTCCAGATAGGTATCGGCACTGTCGCCTCGGCGATGGGGGCGTTCCTGGGTGAAAAGCAGGACCTGGGGATACAGACTGAGATCATCACCGGCGGTGTGGTGGCCGAACTGGTGAGTCAGGGTGTCGTGACCGGCAAATACAAGACGCGACACCAGGGCAAGGTGGTGGCCAGCATAGCACTGGTGCCCGAGGACGAGCTGGCCATTATTGACGGTAACCCTGTCTTCGAGCTCTACGAGTTCGGTTACGTCGATGACGTCCGGTACCTGTTGCAACAGGACAACCTGGTCGCCATCAACAACGCCCTCCAGATAGACCTGACCGGGCAGGTGGCCGCCGAGACCATCGGCAGCATGATCTGGAGTGGCGTCGGTGGTCAGACAGCGTTTGCCATTGCGCGGCCAACTACTCCAATGGGGGCCGCTCCATCACCGTCCTGCCCTCAACCAGCCTGGTGGAGGGAGAACGGGTGTCGCGCATAGTGCCGACGCTGCCCGGAGGCGCGGCGGTGACCGTGCCCCGCACGCTGGTTGACTACGTCGTTACCACCGAGCAACGGGGATCGCGTCACCTGCGAGCACGTCGCTGCGGTGTAGGCGAGCACGAGGAGCGCTGATCTCCATCGCTCATCCCGACTTCCAATCCGAGTTGCGGCGGGAGTTCACCAGGGTTTTCAACGTGACCGTGTGACGGTGCGGTCTATTCGGTCTGCGACCACACTTGGAGCACCGCGTGGCTCCATAGGCCGCACGGGGCAAACACTGATGGCTGATTTGATGACATTTGCCGCTTGCCAAGCCTCATGAGCACTCCGTACCATATCTGTATGTATACGTTCCCGCTGCCAACCTCATTTTCGCTGATTAATTCTGGTTGCTGTTCAGGCCGGCAGGCCGTCCGCGAACAGGCCGGTAAGCGAGGGTGGGACAAAATGGGACGGAATGGGACGGGAATCGCGAATTTCCGGCAAATTTGAGAAATCTCAGATAGGGCGAAGGCTGAATTTGGGACAAAATGGGACAAATTGGGACGGACATGGGAAATTCATGTCCCACTCTTCCCACATTGGCTTGCGGTCCTGGCACCCGCTCTCCTTTGGACAGCCCGGCGTCATTTCGTAAGCGGTCTCACGGAATCCCGCCAGAGAGATGTCTTGTGCGTAACTGGCAGGTGCACGTTCGCGCACTTGCCGGATATTAGCGCGCATAGTAATATTAGAGTGCAATTCTCAGAGCAGCCTTCGCTGCAGGATTCAGTACAGGACTTCAGCAACAAGCGTGCGTGAAATGGACTGATGTTATCCAGCTTTCCGGCGGGAACGACGGCTTGAATACGGTCGTGCCCTACGGGAGAGGCGAGTACTACGACTCCCGCTCGACGGTGCATATCCCGCAGGACAAGGTGCTGCCGCTCAACGACGAGATCGGATTCAACCCCAGCATGGGGCCGATGAAGGCCCTGTTCGACGAAGGGAAGGTGGCGGTTATCCAGGGCATCGGCTACGAGAACCCCAATCGTTCCCACTTCCGTTCCATGGATATCTGGCACACCGCCGAGCCCGATGCCATTGGCAGCGAGGGCTGGCTGGGCCGGGCCGTCCGGGAGATGGACCCGCAGGGCGAAAACGTGTTGACGGCGGTCAACTTCGGTCGCGGCCTGCCTCGCGCGCTGGGTTGCCCGGGGGTGTCGGTGGCATCCGTGGGCGATCTGGCGACTTACGGCCTCTTCCCGGACATCGAGGACGAAGAACTGCGGATGTTCACCCTCGAGGCATTCTCGCGGATGTACGGCAACGTGGCGGGCCGAGACCCGGTGATGTCCTTGCTGAGCAAGACGGGGCAGGACGCCTTCGTGGGCGCCGACATCCTCCGCACTGCCCCGGCACAGTATTCGTCCAGCGTGGAATACCGGAGCGACTCGCTGTCCAAGAACGTGAAGAGCATCTCGCAGGTGTTCCTTGCCAACCTGGGGACCAAGGTCTACTACACGCAGCATGGCAGCTTCGACACGCACTCCGGTGAGCTGCCCACCCACGCGCAGCTGTGGGACGATGTAGCCGGCGCGGTCGGCAGCCTGATGGATGACCTGAAGGAGCACGGCCGTGAGAATGACGCCGCGGTGCTGATCTTTTCGGAGTTCGGCCGGCGCATCAAGGACAACGGCACGGGCAGCGATCATGGCTCAGGTGGCGTTGCATTCCTGATCGGTGTGTAGTCGGTCAAACGCGGGCTGTACGGGCAGTACCCGTCGCTCCACGAGGCGGAGCAACTGAACGGCGACCTTCGGCCCAACAACGACTTCCGCTCCACCTACTCTGCCATTCTGGACAAATGGATGGAGCTGGATCCCGACCCCATTGTGAATGGCCAGTTCGAGCAGTTAGACCTGTTCCGGAACTAAGCCGTCGCAACTGGCACTGCGGATCACAGCGACACACCTTTAACGAGAGGAATGCGAGGGACCGTAATGAGTGATAGCAACATCGAACTGATGGCCCACCTGATGCGGCGGGCCGGGTTCGGCGCCAACCGTGATGATGCTGGAGCATTGCGTGGGCGGGGGATACCGAGGCAAACCGTAGAGGATCTGTGGACACGTCCAACCCTCAACAACATGCCCGACGACCTGATCCGCCGTATCATGTGGAGCAGTCGGAACTGCGCGACTTGGCCGGGTCCGCAGCCTACTGGATGTACCGGATGATCTCAACAGAGAGCCCGCTGGAAGAGAAGATGGCCCTCTTCTGGCACGGGCTGTTTGCCACTGGATACGCGAAGCTTAACCAGGCCCGTTCGCAGCTGAACCAGGTCGAGATGTTCCGGCGCAATCGGGCTGGGCTCCTTCGACGAGTGTGGTGGAAATCTCCAAGACCGGCCATGCTTGTTGGCTGGACACAGACAACCATGGCGACGCCATCAACGAGAACTACGGGCGGGAGCATTCATGGAGCCTTCTTCCACTTGGTGGCATATCGGTCTTAACTAACTGAG